CTCACAAGCACATCCGGACTCTGGTTTAATTCAGGTGGACCTCTAAGCCTCTCTGGCACTCTGCATAAATTTACCTGGACCTGTATGCATCTCCGGAGCTCCACGTACATTCCAGTAGACCTGTATGCATCTCCAGAGCTCCATATACATTCCAGCAGACTCACAAGCAAATCCGGAATCTGTGTTAATTTAGGTGGACCTGTAGACATCTCCGGCGCTCCATGTAAATTTATGTGACCCTCTAAGCCTGTCCAGAGCTCTGGATAAATTTAGGCAGACCCATTAGCATCTCCGGAGCTCCCTGTACATTCAGGCAGACTCACAAGACATTCCGGCAGACTCACAAGACATTCCGGCCTCAGTGTTAATTTAGGTGGAGCTCTAAGCCTCTCCGGAGCTCCATGTAAATTTAGGCAGACCTATAAGCCTCTCCGGAGCTCTGTGTAAGTATATGCAGATCTGTAATTGTCTCCGGAGCTGTGCTTAAATTTAGGTGGACCTGTAAGCACATTCGGATCTCTTCTGTTATTTTACGTGGACTCACAAGCATCTCTGGACTCCATGTTAATTTAGGCACTGCAGAGCTCTATGTTAATTCAGGTGGACTTGTAAGCAATGAGCATCTCCAGTGCTTGGTGTTCATTTAGATAAAATTGCAAGCAACTCCAGAGCTCTGGAATAATTTAGGCAGACCTATCCGGTCTGCCTAATTTGACAGACAGGTCTGGAGGTGTTTGCATCTTGAGACTGAGATGCAGCATGGATTGCAGGTGAAGACCTGATAAATTGACATCCTGGATCAGAAATCTTCCAGACCTTACTCAAATTGAAGTCATCATTCCAGGTTTGGAGAAGAAAAAAGGTGACGGGCTTGTGAAGAGCTTTGAATAATGAGATGTATTAATAGTATAAATGTTATGATGACTGCCTACAGTACATAAGGAATCCACCTAGCAAGCTATTCCAGCATGACAGGCAAGCTTGGCCTTGCTGGCTGGACCTACACGAGCTCGCTTGGCCTCTCACGAGCTCGTCCATCCTGGATGGGTATTTTTGGCAGCACGAGCTCGTGAGGCTAGGCCATCACTGATGGTACTTATGTCACACAAGGTAATACACTATATATGGTAATTAGCTACAGAACTTTCTGCGACACCGAAATGTGTCGATCTATCCGCGGTGTGCCGATAATCCTTCCAATGTGTCGAGACTCAGGGTGTGTGTCATTGTTCTATCTAAGGTGTGTGTGTCGCGTTCTGTACATCCTCCATGAGACGGGACAAGAGGTTCGCAAGTTTATCCATCACCACAGAAGCAATAAGAATGGGGCTGAAAGTGGAGGCGTTGGAAGCATTTCTCGCCTTTAGTAGGGATTGTCGATTGCTTCCTCGTGGGAAGAATGTCCAAGCGACACGCATTTGCAATGAGGAGGGTTGTGGGCGCCTATCTCAAAAGAAGTGTCAGCTGCCGTTGTAACCGCACATAAGTATGCCTAAAGGTGGCGTTCTTCCGCAGCATGAGGTCGATGACTCAGAGAACACGGTATGTAAGATTTGAGCGGTTTTGCGGTTTCATCTCTCCATCTCTCGTACGTATTCAAACAAATAACCCAGTTGTGTTTGTTTTGGTAGGCATCTCTTCAGGCTGGACGACGCCCTTGGAGGAGAATGTAATCGCGAAATTCGAATGCATGGATTGGCGCTGAGGGACAACGGAAATGGAGCTTAATCTATAGAGGACATCGGCAATTTCGAACTCTTGTGTGTCTCAAGGAACCGCACTAAGCAGCCCTTATGCCAGAAAAACACGAAGCCATGCCTCGTAGCGACTATCTTGTCAATGCAGAGGAATTCCATATCTGATTGTGTTCTGAGCATGGATGCCATCTAGGTCGTTGGCGTTGGACGTCGCTCTAGCCACGAGTCGCATTCAATATTAGGCGCCGGTAGAGGAAGCCTTTTGGAGCTTCGAATACAGTTACAAAAAACTTGGCAGAAGAGGCATGGGTTGTAAATCCGCGTGAGACCTACTTTGAGGCCGCGGTAGAGCATAAATCGAGTTGTCGAATTGAATGTGAGCATCGAAGGTTTTGGCGACATAATGTAACGACAGAGGATGCAGTTTGGTAATAATCGAGTTACATGAAATTGAGCGTCAGCCCGCAAGACGTAAATGCAAGGAGGAATGCCAGACTGTCCCAAGAGCTTTGGCGAGAGTTTCCGTTTGATTTGGAAAAGAGGCTGAGTTTGACGTTGTGGAAGCAGCAGAAGCAGAAGCAGGGGTTGAGATGGTAGCAGTCTGGGTAGTGGTTGGAGCGACAGCGGCGTTGAGGGTGTAGATGGGGACAAGACGTCCTGTGAATGTCCCTGTTACAACTCCAGTGGTACTCGTCAGTCGATATTCGTAGACGTCAAATTCAGCTTGCACAAATATAACCGGCGAGAATCGACCGAATGATGATAATTGGCCAGTCGTTGTGAAGTGCGTGGCGAAAATGACTCGCCGACTCCAGCTATATCCGTTGCATCAATGCCACCCAAGTTGAAGCCGCCTTGTTTGACCGAACTTGTAGACGAAGGCGAGATAGTGGTGGTGTCAGGGTGGACAGGTGCGGTAGATACAAGAGTTGACGTGAATTCGTCCTCCGTGGCTGGTGCTTCGTCAACAGGAGTGGCCGGAGGCTCCACAACCGTCCTCTCCTCTTGCGTGTTGATGTCATGGGATGAGGAATCACCGAATACGGACATTGCGCGGGAATACTGCAACAATACCGCGACCACGGCAATGCCTGAGCCCCCCGCCATCCAGCCTTCACGAACTGCAATAGACTCTACGCTGTTTGGATCCACGCCCAACGTGTCACCACCTCCTGCGGCGCGCTACTTGCTTCTGTGGCTGGTGATGGTGGTGCTGACGTGGTTGTGTTGTTGACGTAGACGTAGACGCTGCAATAAGTGTAGATGATGGCTGCGGTGTACGATTTGACAACTGGGATGACTGTAGACGCGGAGACGACGTTCAGACCAATTATTGAGTGATAGAGGATGAGGTAGGAGCGGCGTTGTTGCTTGGTGATACTGACCTCTCGTGCGATGAGCCTGAAATGCGAATAATGAATCAGAATTGACGAAATACGTGAGGTTTGAGAGGAAAAAATGAAAGGCATGAACAGGAAAGCGAATGCGTAAAGATTCGGTCACCCGGAGTAGGCGATTCACCGGGAAAAATAAGGGGAAAAAGACGCAAAGAAGAGAGGACGTACCCTCCGTAGTCGTAACCGACGCATGAATATTGCTAGAAGTCTGCGAATGAGAGCTAGAGAAAAGAGTCGTCATGAGCACGATGATAACGAGGCAGTCAATGGAATGCTGAATGAGAGCGAGAAGGAAAGAAGACCTCAAAAACGAACCTTACTCACTAGAATTCACTCCCATCACCAACACACTGCCTATCGGCACCTTCGCATGTCCCAGTCATGGAATGCTCAACGTGAACCAAATTGAAGATAAATTGTGGGCGGCGATATGCCCCAAATGCTCGCTCGTCGAATTCGGAGTAGAAGCTTGGGTCCATGCAGCGTTCGAGGCAGAGAAGGCACTCTGTCGTGGATATAGGAGAACCGAAGGAGGGACGGATGTTTGAGGTTGGCGACGTAGGTGTAACCAGAGTTGGCACAAGAGGTTCTTCCAGAGGCGCAGTTACTGTCGATTCTGATAGCGTCATATTTGGATAGTCTGGCGGAGAAGTAGCCGGGATAGGTCTCAGCGGAAGCGGCGGAGGTGTCGGCGGGGACGAAAACTACGACCTCTAGGAAGTGGTGCTTCGGGCTAGCCATGCTGGGTATGCTGGGCGGAGACTTGATTACAGGAGTAGGGGGCAACAATCGTAGGCTGTGTTTGCAGAGGAGCGGGCTCAATGTGTGGTGTTGGAGCAGTGTTGGTGACGGGCAGCAAGGGGACTCTAGGAGAGGAATAGAGCTCCGCTCGTCGGCAGGGTTTTTGAGGTAGTAGTTGAGGGTGAGGGTGCCTTTGAAGAATCGGTTGCGTTGGAACGTACCAATCCTTCAATCCTTCTAGCACCACTGCAGGCTGCTCCACAAGCCCAAACATTGCCAACTCATCCTCCTGCACCCCTTTCACCCTTACCGAGAATGCAGGACTCGACGCACTCGCCATGCTCGAACTCACACTCGCCAGCGGTGCGGCTTGCTCCAGTCCCACAAACACGATCCAACTTCGCCAGCATTTTCGTTAGCGATCATGACCTCCAAGTCGGCTGTCGGTGAGGGTGGATACTTCAGATAGACCTGTACGTAGAACAGCGCTAGCTAGCTAGGAATGCTGGCCGCTGCCAATGGTGGGGCCATTTGCGATAAAGTAACTGATTTCCTTATAAGGCACAATCGCCGATCAAGAGAGCCTCAAGAAACGGAATAATACTTAGTATCGACATTTTATAACAAGTATCGACATTTTATAATAATTACACAACTTTGATTGCAAAGCAAGGCAGCCTATAAGATACCCAGCAACTGGCTGGCTTTTCACAGGGTGCGTATTTGAATCCATCGACTACGCAGGCTAGCGGACAGGTTATAGGTAAGATTTCTCGGTTGAAATTTCGTCTGTGAATTTTGTGGTGTCTATAGAAATAAGCAGCCTGTAATAGAACACCAGTGTTAGCGGCAGTTGGGACATATTGCGTTACATGGACCAACATGGTACAACCGCGCTGGGCACAACTCATGCTGAGTGGTGCAAAAGAGAAAATAACAATCGCAGAGAGCTCATGATTGGCGTTTGGAGCCATCATAGGATGTTGGAGGCTGTGTGATACGAAACTGACGCCATGACCACGGAAATTCGTACGTCATAGTGGTAATCTTAGATGGATTTCCATTCCGAGTCGCCGTCCAAAATTATGCGAGCCTTTGGCGAGCCCAACTAATTCAGGAAGCAAGTTGGGGAGTGACACTCACAGGCTGGCATTACTGGTGCTTATCCGGTATGGTGTAACGGCTAACATTACCGCCTTTCACCATCTTGCAGCTGATCGCGGTAGCTCGGGGTTCGATTCCCCGTACCGGAATCCTAAAGGTGATGAACTTATTTTTGCATAGGATGCAGAAAGAATAGTGTCAACTGCAATAGTTTTTTACATACTTGGACAAGGTTTAGACATACTCGTATAACAAGGGGGGTACTAATCATCTCATCATTATCACGAAGGAAGGAATACAGAGATATGGATGGCCATAGGGAGAAAGCGCACTTGATCGATATCCGTGCTATCGACCTCAAGCCCCCTCCGGGCTCCCCTTCTCGTCCATACATCCTTCCCTCCAGTCGTCAATTTTCGCGGTGAAATTATCTCCCTGCTCCTCAGGTTTGATTCGAACACCTTTGAGCCATCGCATGCTACGCCGCTCGCGAATCATGACCATGATAGTTCCAAGGACTGAGATTCGACTGGGTTTCAGGTCCATATGGCACTGAATTGCTAGCCACCACGAGCATCCATCTGTTCCTCGTGGGATTGGGTTAACTGGCGTATCGTCAACGAGAGAATCAAGCTCAAAACCGATCCGTAGGTAAGCTGAAGTTGCAGTACCTGAAAGGCATACAGGGATAAGCAGGGCACCTCTTTGCGACGCGCCGCCAGGCTTCAACAGCTCCGGGTGTTCCAATAAAGCTCCAGAACACGAGGAAATTCGCGCATCCTCCTCCAAGGTATGGTACTTCAGAACAGGATCGGTCAGTTGCGCATTACGCTCGCGGGTATCAAGTAAGGCATGATACGAACCTCGACAAACACTTTACGCCTCAAATCCAATGCTCGATAGCCGATAAACTTCCCTTCTTTCTTTCTCAAGTCTGGCTCGTAAGCATCCTCTCGAAGACGAAATTCGGATATTCAGACAGAACGGTGTCTCTGCTAGCAGTGAGAAAGTGAGCCCGATCCAGTGGTAACCCTAGTAGGGTAACCATACGCACCTTATCGAGGTTCTTCTGCGTCCAACGCGTGCTGAATCATGCGGCGAACCGGGTAGAGCAGGGAACGAACGAAATGGTACTTCGTTCAGCGATACCCGAAGACGTCGGCCCCCCTGCACTCCCTTCTTCTCCTTTATCGAGTTTGTTTTTCGCAGCTGCTTTCTTTGGGGCATTATTGGAATAGAGGCCCGTAGCTCAGCTTAGGCGGCTTCCTTCCAGGAGGCGGGCAAGCCAGCAAAGCGTTCACCTTCAAGTCCGCGAAGAGACCCTCACCTAGTAGAATTTTGCTATCTTGAACATTAGCTATTGCATATTAGCTGCAGCTTCAGATGCATACATACGCAAGACTGATAGCATATCGACGTCAGAGAGTAGTTAAGTATGCCATGATTTGTGATAAGACTCGCCGAACTGATTTCTTGTCTGGAAACACGAGAGCGGTAGACACGCATGGAATTAACTGGGACGTAAGAGGAGGGGAGGAAGATGGCAGGCCGGAGGAGTGGTACAAAATTCCGTCGTGAGAGGAGCGTTCAAGATGAATGACTGGATGGTGGGAGCAGTAGCAGTGTCGCCGAGTGATTATCAATGTATTATGTAAGTATATTATTCAAGTTCGCCGAGATGTCCGTCTGCTGCTGTGCTCTTTTTATCATTCTCACACCAACTGAAAAGAGTCAAATGACTCTTACTTTCTTATCACGTCTCATTGGGCACATCAGGCAGATAGATGGTGGTTACTATCGACCAATATCAACCTTTGACTCGGGCTTAAATTTTCACGCATTGACAGCCTGAAAGATATCGCCGGTAAGGACACATCGAGATGGAATAAGTTAATTAGTAAGTTCCGAATAACTAACCCTGCCTTCAATGACTTGAGAACATGTCGGTATTTTTACTCGAGGGCTATGTAATTTTAAATGATCGAGTTTGGACCCGGCCGCGAGGATATTCAGTCTATCTATAGTAAGTACTACAGTGGGTATTTGGCTGGTCAACGGCGGTAAGTTGCTACCAGATTCAGTCGCGAAAATTGACTCCCATTGAGAATAACCGATCGTTGTCTTGATGCAAATGCACCTCGTTCACTTTAGAGAGCATAATATTATTGCAAAGGAGTTACAGCGCTGCACCTTGATACACGAAAGAATCTAAAAATTGAAAGTTTGAAATAAATATGATTGCTTGAGACTTCCAAATTTAAGATCCGGGGACAGGAGCGACGGTGGGGGCGGGCCCAGCGACGGTGGCGAGGCTGGGGAAGGGGAGTTCTGGGCACTGTAGAAAACAATCAGTAACCGCAGCCAACAATGTGTGCGATAGGTTTACTCACAGCGATCTGGACATCCTTCTTCGAGAAGCTGGCTGGGAACTTAATAGGTCCAGCGAATGATTGGGGAACAGGGACGACATCAGAGCAGTCGATGAGCCTGCGAGTATTCTGGCCGAGGACTTGAAGCTTAGCCATGGCAGCCTTGAACGCAGAGGTCATGTGGGCTTCATTGTCTGTTGATTGTCACATTAGAATGAGAGCGGTGGAACATGAGGTGGGTTTCCTCACTGATATTGGCTTGCCATAAGCAGGCGGTCCTGGCGTCTTGGGAGATGCGGAAGTCGCTCTGGAGACGCATCTCACCAGCGAGAGGAGACAACACTTCACCGGCTTGCGAGCCGTTACCGGGGAAGGAGGTTCCCTTGAGAAGGACTTCCAAGAAGACTTGAGAATCGCTGTACACCGAATTAGATCAACTATGGCCAAACAAGTCAGATATTCACGTACAAAGTTCCGACGGTAGAGTCGAAGGGTGTTCCTGGGATAGTTGGGTCAACAACATCGGCGGCAGCGATGGTGTGGGAAGCCAAGAGAGCAACAGCTTCCGAAGGAGTGAAGCCAGCATCGGCAAAGCGTGCCAAAATCGAGGTCACGGTGTCGGTGGGCTCAGGGACAGTCAGATCAGGTGCGGGGGCGACCGGTGGGGGACGGCCGAGCATGAATTGGAGCCTGGGTGCACCAGGGCAGTTGGCAGTGCCCACGGCGGCAGCGAGGTGGACGCTGATCGAAAATAACTGATCAATATGGCTGATATCTTGATGTCTAAAGTGGGCTTACAAGTCACCGGCAGACAGGGGGGTTGGAAGCGTTTGGAAGACTGGGAATTGACGAGCTGTGATATCATCAATGCTATGGAAAATCTGTCAGAACATTTGGTCTCCAAGAGCAGTCGAAAATAATCACCCTCCGTTGGCGTGGAAAGCGAGCTCAGTCGAGTTGAAGATCAAGATGGAGCCGTCGGCGCCTCCTCCCTTTCCACCTGATGAATAAAAATAAGTAGTGAGATTGAATAGACATCAAAAATGCGAACCGTGGATGGAGAATCCAATAGCATCGTGGAAAGAGAGACGAAGAGCAGAGTGAGCCTGCAGAGTTGAAGGTAATTAGAAGCTGCATCTTTGTTGCAGTAAAGCACCCCTTACCTCTTCACCGCACACGCCACCGTCGAAAAGATTCGCCTGAAGGAAATCAACGACGGGGAAAAGAGCTAAAATCGTGAAAATGAGAGACAAATATTAAACGAATGTTCAGACTGGCACTGACCACAACAAGCAGCGTTCGTGGTGGTCTGACCAGTCGAACAGGTAACGCGCCTGGTGAGGGCAGCGTTAACGAGCTGGGATGCTCCGAGAGCAATAGCAACGATAGCCGAAAGACGAGCGAAAGCCATTGATGTCCGAGTGCGGTTTTGTGGATAAGACGAAGAACTCGAGGATCCTGAAGACTGTGACTGTTGAACAAACGTCTTTTATACTCATTTCTGAACTCTAATTTCAGCCCTGTCGTCTGAGTACCCTAAATTTCGAAATCAGTATGATAACAATGAATGTTTAAAAATACTGCTGACAATCCCGAAAAACAAATCCAGTCGAATGGAACGTAAGTGAGCGTGCGAAGGATACGAAGGTATGGAATCAATCGTGAAGAAAACTGTAACAGCAAACAAAGTCGAGGGTGTGATCGGTTATGCTTGGGTTATGCGCGCATTTCCACACTGACGCAAGGGGAGAGGAACGGAGCAGGGGTAACATCAGAATAGCTCGCGGCAAAGGTAGACGCGCTTGGAGTCAGTCTAATTAAAAACTGCCATGTTCACTGTCTGACCCGGGATGGGCAACAGTTTCTAAACATGGCCTGAAACTCGTCATCGCAAGTACGCCTCGCGCTCGAAATAGTCCTCGAGGAACCGGCAAGTCTAATTCCCAGTGATAAGCTGAAGTTCCGACGACAAGCGCGTGAGCAGCAAGCGAAAAAAACTATAATTATCCAAACCTTTTCGTGGGCATGGGAGTTGGTAAGCTTGAACACTGGGAGGGGTACCGAACTTAAGAATCCTACAGTGTCAGGTCGTCTGGTGATGGTTCCATTGCTTCGAGTCGGAGGTTCCGGGTTTTATGAAAGCCGTCGGCGCTTCGCATGGCCATGTTAAAAAGAGCTGTGAAACGACTACTTGTTAAGTTCCCTGTGAACAACGGAGCAACATCAGTAACAATATTTTGGTCAAACACGTTCTCAGGCCCGACTTATAAATAAAATGCACAGGATGCCATTGGATGCAGATTCTCGACCAGAGCTATGGTTGCAGGTATACGCGTACAATTTCCAGTTCAATGGTTCATCAGCACACAACAGCGAGTATCGAATATAGACTGGATGTCGGTAAATACGTCTTCCCTGTGAGTCGGGGGCGAGATGGAACGTGGGATACCGGTCGGTTCTTCTGAGTTGGTGACTCGGTGAACGTGTAGGATGGACAACCGCGTTGAGGGTACAAAAAAAAGCTCCAATATTTCGAATTAGAGGATTCAGTAGTATCCAGAGTTGGGTCTGACGAACTATATGACTCTGTTCCCGTACATAAATAATTGGCAAATAAATTCTGATATTGTTACTGTATTGGTTTCGAAATATCATTTTTAACGCGAGTTATAACACTTCTGGCAAGAACCTCAGCCTGTTAAAATAGATTTATCGTACTCCACCCTCGAAAATTTTCGTAGCAAACTCTCCCCGTTTTAGTACGGAATTTCCATAGACAA